GAGTCCACTATAATCATGTTCTGAACTTATAGATACTGTTCAGAATCTGTAAGATTCCTTACAGATATCCTTAAAGATATCCTTATAGATACATAGATATCCTTATAGATACTGTTCAGAACCCTTACATTGTCCAAGTCCTTTGGAAACCTACCCTGCAACTATCTATCCGTAAAAGTACACAAGCTTTTAGCATCTGCTAAATGCCACCTCGGCTAATTTGGACTACAACGGCAGTGAAACAGAATTGCTCCAGTCATTACAGAGAATCAAGCTCATTCTTGTCCTCCTCTGTGTTTGGGCTACTGTGCCTGAGACTGTGGGAGATCTGATCACTTTCTACAACTATCTGAAAGGAGGTTGTAATGAGGTGGGTGTTCATCTCCTCTCCCAAGTAATAAGCAATAAGACAAGAGGAAAAAGCCTCTAGTTGTCCCAGTGAAGGTTTGGGTTGGATATTAGGAAAAATCTCTTCACTGAAAGGGAACAAGCTGCCCAGGGAAGTGGTGGAGTCACCATCCCTGGAGGTATTTAAAAGACATGGCACTTTGGGACATGGTTTAGTGCCGGACTTTGCAGTGCTACGTTAACTGCTGGAATTGATCTTAAGGGCCATTTCTAACCTAAACAATTCTATGATTCTATGTAAACATGTGTATAAACCTGGGTTCAAGACATTTCATTTCATTGAAACCAATGAAATTACTGAGTTGTGTGTCACTGACTGCAGGATTCTATTGCTGTGAAACTTACCCTTTAAAAAGTCACATGACCAGTCCCTTCTTTTGATTCATTTAAACATTACGCCAGTGAGGTGAGGCCGCACCTGGAATATTGTGCCCAGTTTTGGGCCCCTCGCTTTAAGAGAGATATTGAGCTCCTGGAGCGAGTCCAGAGAAGGGCAACTAAACTGGTCAAGGGGCTGGAAAATAAAACTTATGGGGAGCGGCTGAGGGAGTTGGGGCTGTTTAGCCTGGAGAAGAGGAGGCTGAGGGGAGACCTGATTACGGCCTACAAATACTTGAGAAGGGATGGTGGGGAGGTGGGGGAAGGGCTCTTTACATTAGTGATGGGTGATAGAACAAGAGGAAATGGGCATAAGCTTAGTCAGGGCAGATTCAGGTTGGATGTTAGGAAGTATTTCTTCTCTGAAAGTGTTGTCAGCCACTGGAATAGGCTGCCCAGGGAGGTGGCTGAGTCCCCATCCCTGGATGTGTTTAAGAAAAGGGTTGATGAACTACTTAGGGGTATGGTTTAATGGGGATTAGGGACAGTTGGACTGGATGATCTCTAAGGTCTTTTCCAACCTAGAAATCTATGAAATCTATGAAAATAACCTCACAGGTACAGCCAAAGAGAGCAAAAGGTCAGCATCTACCAATTGCTGCTGTGGAGTTTCCACAGCTACCAGGAATTCTCTTTTTTTTTCTAAACCAAAGGAAATCTGAGGGAATCTCAGATACCATCATGTGGTAACTTCTGGCAAAGGTTACAGATCTTATCTCAACCACTGGCATACTAACCATTTGCATTTCAACATCAATTTTTCATTCCACTTTTTCTTCTTTAACTTATTCCTACAAAGTACAAGCTAATGCACAGATTAATAAATAAATACAACACATTTGAACGTGCCATATCTACTTTATATGAAGTAGTTCAGGAATGAACACTAAATATATATTACCATATAATGAACAAGGTTTTTTTGTCGTTAAATCAGGTCACTGAAAAGAAAAATGCATTCCAGATGCAGTAAGATGGAACAGAACCTGAAAGAAGTTTCAATGAACAGTAAGAGAGCCCAATACATTTTAACAGCTATTTAATGAATTCCTATTCCAAACAAGCCAACTTCAGGTGCCTTGCATGCAGGTACTCTTCAGCTTCACAAATTTCCATGTAATAAAGCAATGCCAAGCACAGTCACCTACTTTGCTTTCTCACACGAAATAGAATGCAGGACTCTCAAATTTATGCTTTTTAAAATTAAAGTGTATTTTTTAGAACAAGAATCAATTTTATAAAAATGGGCAGGAAGGAAAAACACACCATGATTTTTCAGTACACAGAGAAAGTATATTGGATCAAGTTGCCAAGATCTAATTTGAACATGCAGCCTCAGCAGTAAATTCAGTTAAAGCGGGAAAAAAGAGCCTGAAAAACAACACCACAAAACAAATCTATCAGAACCAGTATGGAATTATTTTTCTCTCCTTCCTAGTCACCTTTGTACAGAAGGACAAGTACGTTCTGAGTTTCTGACCTTAAGAATGCTTGACGTTTAGTTTGGATCTGATTGTCATGATCGTCACATGCTTTTACGTGCGAGGACTTGATTAACACTCACCCTGCAACATTTATCTTCCAGAACCAAAGGCGACTGCTCATCCAGAACCAGAAGGAACTAATGACTAGAGTATCACTTGTAGCTACAGTTTATCACTTCAAATTTTTACAACACAGATCAATAAAAAGTAGTTCAGATGTGGCAAAACAAATGCTGAGGTCAAAGGAATATTCTCCTTGGCTCTGATTTTAACTACAGGCACATCAAGTACTTCAGTCCTAGCCGTTCTTCAAATCTTTTCTCAAATATACGATTTTGCCATCACAAAGTGATAACAAGAAGAAAATGGTTTTATGAAGTTCAGCTTATAATTAGTTATGCATCTGATTCTCCATTATCTCTATTAGTATTACAGTAATACAACTTAGAAGTAACCCTGACCTTTCTTACTAAAACCTTGCAAAGCTTGCTGAACTTTCACAGTAATCCATTAGGATATACAATACAATATATAACAATACACTTTCAACACTCAGCTGCACAGAAACAACTACTTCATGACAAATATACTGACTAGAACCTATTGCAACATACAATTAATAAGAAGATTGTCTCTTGCAAAACATTAGCAACCATCAACACACACAATGCTCACACAATGACCAGTGCGTGATGTCACAGAAGTGACTAGTGTTACTGGTTGCCTTTGATTATAGGATGTCTTGATACATTACATTAAGATAGTTCATCCCAAAGACCTATCTATCACTTCTGCTATATTCTCTGTAGTAAATCTGGTTGCTCCGCATAATGGATGTGTATTTGGCATTTTTCCTTCCCTTGGTCTACTATACTGCCCCATATTTGTCTGCAAATGGCAGTGGATGTAGACTTTCTACTTTATAATAATTCTAGAGAAAGAGGCATCCTACACATAGAGCTGCAAAAGAAATTATTGAAAGGCCCGACTTGGACAAAAGAAGATTACGAATTTACTGGTTTGATTTATCACTTTGATTTATCATGCAGAAATTCATACAGGTTTAGTGAAAAGTTTCTGATTTCTTTCATATGATTTTTTGTCAGTTACAGAATCATACTTCATGATTAACTTGCCCAAATTCTTCTTCCTGATACCTCACCTAAAATATCAGTTGAAAATCTTAAATTGTAATGATATGATCATAAATTTTAGTGCTTGGTGAGAAAGTATGAAGTTTGGTTGAACAGTTTCTTAAATATATTGATAGACTTCCAGACCATGGCTCCTTGGCACTAGAAAGCCAAATATATTTTTCCAAATTCACATCATTTTTGAAATAGTAAACATCTCTTTTTTTCCACTTGCTACTCCCTTGAAAAATTACTTCATTGACTCCTACTGATTTTTTTTTCTCCTTCTCTCTTTCCCCACAAAGCTGACAACAAACCTCTGAGGAGAAACTGAAGCTAATGGTAAACTCTGATCCAAAATATCTGGAAAGCAGAAAAGAGAATATTATAGAGTTTTCAAAAATATTCAGAGAGCAGAAAACCTGAGTTCAGGCTTTGCTGCGACAAAAAGGAAAGGAGAGAGTCTTCCTAGTCTCGTGACACAATCTCTACCAGGTGCTCTAAATTCAAAAGAGAAATCCGGGAAGATATCCACTATCTGTGAAGGAGACTGGCCCTTTGAAGTAACAAAGCGAAAGTAAAAAATTTCCTCTATCTACCGCACAGACATCTACATCATGGTAAGAAAACTACTCAACAAGGCACACACTGAAACATACCCTAACACTGATTCATATTTCACAATGTATAAACAAATATGGTTTTTTTCAAATGAATAATAATCAGCAGTAACTCCTAAGAATTATATATTCATTGTTTTCTTAGGTTACGCTGAGAATGGAAATAGCACTGGTGAAGCTGATTTCTGGTGACACTAAATAAGCACTTGGTGAGGGTAAGCTAATTGTCATCCAAAATACAGACAATATGTAAGGCAATCAAGAATCTGAATTACAGAAATTATAGATGGGTCACTGGAGTCTAAACGTAAACTGATTGCAGGGTTTACTCGCTAGATGGTTACCCCATGTGATTACACACGTGTGAAACAGGCTCCCAGTGATCCTAAGAAAAACAGCAAGAAAAACACAACTTTGGAAGTTGAACGCTCACTGCTAGAATCTGTAAACAGAGATACTGTCATGTGTTTTATTCCTATTGTATTCATGGAAACAGGGCTGTGGGTCTGGTTTTGCCAGTACTGAAACAAATGGCTGCCTTAAAAACAACTCAACTCTTCTCAGTTTCTCATGTAACACTATGCAAGATACTGCAAATTCCTCAAGTCAAAAAGGAGCAACATGATGCAAGAATATTTCAGGATAAATTCTCCTTTATTCTATTGCACTTTTCCTGCACGTATGCTTCATGCAGGTACTCCGCTTTCTGAAGGTCTACCGTATCACTTTTGCTGTCTACCGTAAAAGTTTATAAATTTAGAACATATATTTTTGTCTAATCCTATCTGTCCATGGATATAAAACTAAAAAATACCTTTCTGTCTAGGTGGAAAGATGGAGCAGTCATTCATTCACACAGACTAGTTAAAAAAGCACATCTTTAACTAGGAAAAACAGAGGCAGAATTACAACTTCTCTATATTTTCTTGAGTAATAGCGAGGCTGTTATTGGCAAAAGAGACAGAATTCAGACTTACCGTGCATTTGTTTGGCTTCTCTCCTGAGTGGACTCTCATATGAATCAGCAGTTTATAACGGGCATTAAATGGCTTGTACCTTCGTGGGCACCCTGCCCAGAAGCAAGTGAAGTCCTCTCCCTTCCTTTGGTCTATATGGATCTTCTCTATGTGCTGCACAAGTTCCTCTTGCTGGTCATACAGTGCACCACAGTCAATCCAGTGACAGCCATGCTTGCCATTGAAATCATCTAGCTCACCATCTTCATCAAGCAGGGAGCCTGGGGCAGATGGAGGCAGAGGCAGCAGGCGAATGTGACTGGGGAGGCTGTGTGGATGCTGGTGCTGGTAAGCACGATACGGTGGAGGTGGTCCTTGTGGCAGAGGCGGTGGCAGCGGGTGTGGAGGAGGTATGTTGACCGTACGGCCTGAGAAGTCATCCAGCCATTCATCTTTCAGAACACCGACCACCTGGTTGTCTGTGGGCAGCACATCCTGCTGGATCACCATGTTACTTGTGGTGGCCATCGGCAAGCTGGCTTGCTCCAGCTGCTGCATCCGCTGGTACTCACCAGCCCCATTCTCAACGCACCCTGGGAAGGTGACATTGCCATTAGACATGAGAAGGCCTTTCTGGGCAGTTGGAATAGTACCATTTTGTGGTATACAGCTTCCTCTCACTCCCAAAAAATGTCCATAGACATCAGGCTGTGGGGAAATGTTTGATGGTGATGTCCTGGAGCTGTTGATGTAGGCCACCAGAGAGGTTGGAGACGTACGGATGATTGTATTGAAGTCAATCCCAATGCCGTCAGACAGAGGAGACAGAGAGAGTGTTCTTTTTTTGGAGCGGGCTGATTGAGATCGGGCTGAGGAATGGCGCGGGCTAGAGTAAGGGGAATGTCTATTTTCCATGCCATATAAATAGGATGGTAACAAGTTAGAGACACAGTTACTGGACACAGATGTTTCAGGTGAAAAATTTACTAAGTCCCCCAGCTCACTGTCATTGTGTAAGCCAGAGTCGCCAGGAACAGAAGGAAGCGTCCTGTACCCATGTGACCACTTTTGCTTTACACTCAAAGTGGACTGACTTTCTGACAAGCTTAACGTCGTAGAGGCCAGAGACTCAAACGACAAGAGCGACCTGGAATAAAGGCACAATAAAGTAAGCAAGCGGTTAGACCATTCAGCAGTTCAAATTTCATGTATGTATACTGCTATAAAAGGGTTCTTCTATCTTCACACAAACATAAAATTAAAGAAAGGCTACGTGAGAGAAGTTCTCCCTAATTTTAGGTAATCAACTTTAGCACTCTCAGTTAATGTACATACACAGGCAATACATAGGTAACAAGGTCACTTTGGAAACCAACTTCAAAACTTCAAGATTTTGAAGAAAAGTTGCTATAAAGGTTCTTGATAGACCACTGCAGAAATTAACGCAAATTTTTTCATCTACTGTGGTGTAAATAGGTTTGAGCTTCTGAAGCCAAAGCACTATGCTCTTGACTTGTATGAAACTCATATTAATTTCATTTTATTATTATTTTTGCTAGCAAAGAACACGAAGAAAACTGACTAATAAAGAATAAATATTTAACCTGAATGACTTTGCCAATTGCAATGCATACAAATAGTATTCTCTACAGAAATAGCTCAAGTTTATAAATACAGAAAATATCTAACTTTACAAAACAAATAAAATAAATGAATAATGTAGACAAACTGGTCCAAGGGGTTTATTTAGTTTTTATTTGATGATGCGTCTGCTTCCAAGTCAGCAATTACGATTTTTCATGAAAATATACTCTTGCTGTTATCGGTTTTTCACAGAAATATTAAGAAACCTGTTTATGCTCAAAATGTCCTATGAGTAGCTTTTAAACAAAAGAACTCATAAGCTGTCAACAATATTGTTTTCTACAGAAAGCTACAAAAAGGAAATACAAAGATATCAGCATCCCTGATTCATGGCTGCAAATGCTGGATAGAGGCCAAGTAGATTTATGTCTTTAGGTTTCCAGTTCATATCTTGGCAAACATGGATTTCCTGACAACCAGTGTTGGTATCAGTATATAAATTCCTACTTTTAAGGGGCTCTAACAATAGGAAGAACCATGTATGTATCTAGATAAAGCTGGAGATCTCACAGACACAGAAGCCTCTGCATTTTATGTTTTAGAGGTTAATTTCTGGGATTATTATTTTCACAATACACTTTTGAAGAAGCATAGAATTTCAACGGCAGGCCAAGTACATAGGAAATTTGGTTTCTCTTCTGAATCTAAAATGCATTTTTGAATGTGGACAAGTCAATCACTGCTTCTTAGCTTCTCATATAAAAAACAAGATACACAATAGTTCCTTCTATCATACAAAGACTTCAGGAGGTCAAATTAACTTTAAAAAAGACAGCTAATAATAAGTGCTAATAGGTACCTTAAATCCCAGGTGTTGAAAAATATTTCCTAAAGCTCTAAGTAAACAGTATATTAAATATTTACATGCAATAATCCAAAGCAACAGTCATGTAGGCAAGCAATATGTATTCTTATTTATAAAGATAAGTAACTGACTATAGGAACTTATTTAACTGCACGGTTTTACATTGCTGCAATCTTCAAATTTTTAAAAGAGAAAGTATTCACCATGAAGAAAATTAATAAAAACAAATCTCATCTCTTTCTTGATACAGACACAGTTACAGCAAGTACCTTTGAGGAGGCACTTCTGCCTATTTTACTTGCTCCTTTTTACTTAACAAGAAAGCAAGTTTTGATGTCTACTCAGGGTAAGCAATATTACAGTTGCTTTTGAGTTCTGCAACGTTTTCTTATAGACATTGCTTCAGGAAACAAGGATCCATGAGACACACCTGTCACAGCTTATAGTTGCATTGTACATCTGCACTACAGCCCTACTGCAGTGACTGTGGCTTCGGTGGAAATACATGGAACTACTTAATTTAAGAACTGGTGGTAGGCTAAAACTGGAGATCTGAATCCCATTTAAAAGAACATCAGTCAACTCCAGAAAGCAAGAACAGATTCTAAACAATGCCTCTGGAGACATTCCCAGTGAATATGACAATATTTACCAAATTTCCACAATTTTGCTTGGTAAATTGACTTTTCACCTCCGAGTTCTGTGGATTATCTTTCAATTAGATCAGCAAGGTTGAAAGACTACATGCAAACAATAGGTGAAGTCATTCAGGTAAGAGATGTATATAGTTTTCCACATTTGGTTCTAGCTGCAGAAGTTAAAGCTGAAAAATCAGTGTCTTTGTTACCTTATTCTGCCCACCACACAAGCACTCCCTGAGTGATGAGGTTTCTCCTGCTACTTAATATTACAGTGTTTTCCAGCACTTGAGAGTCGACCAACATGAAGAAAGAAAAGTCAGTTTGCAGTGACTTTGTTTTAAGGGCTGGATTGTGTGGCAAGAACACAGCCCAGTCATCATCAAAGAGCTGGGGAAGGGAATTGGTGCTCAGGGCACCGTGGCTGCCCCCTCAGCCCCTTTTTGTCTAGAAGGTTGGCACAGGCTAGGGGAAAGAGAAAGCAGTATGCAGGTGCTATGCCTCTGCACTGAGGTTTATTTTTGTAATGCCAAAAATTCTAATCAGATACACAGCAGGATCAGCCTCACTCAAAAAGCTGCTAATGCCGAACACAAAGGGACATACCCATCAGTGAAGCTGAAGAAAAACTTTTAGAAGTCTCATAACAGGACAAACATTAAAAGTTGGCCCAGAATTTCAGGTATACAGTAAGTAAATGCCAGATCATCTGAAGAAGTTGGTTCTCACTTAAGCCTCTAAATTCAAAAGGAACAAGGATTCCAGCTCTCAAAGCAAAGAAAATTTCTTTAAAATCCAGCCTACACTGTGACTAAGTAGTTTTCTGGGGGAAAACAAATATACCTAACATGGAAATTAAGGGCCAGCTATACCACTGTGACAGATTCTCAGATGGTATTAATCGGCACGTCTGCTTATTTTAATCTAAACCAGATGTGAGTTTGGACCAAATATTTTCTGAACATTTAAAAGAGATTTGTGCAATTACTTTGTATTCTTCCTCTTGTGTACAGAGGCCATAGTGTCAAGTATAAGGCAATCTTAAATCGTAGTCATGGAAAAGTGAAAGCAATGTCATCTTATCTATTTGCATGGTCTTCTGTTTTACTAGCCAAGAAGTCTTTGTTCTTTCCTAGGTCTTTTTTTGACTTGCATCAAAGTAACTGGCAGTATTGCATTTGATTTCAAGTAACATAACTGAATGCTCTGAAAAGATTCTTGGGAATCTGAAAAGATTCTCAGGAAATTCTCAAAAAAGACGGGGGGAAGTTTTACTCAGTAAAAATCAAGACGTCATTTTTGGTCAATTCAGCAAATAATCTGGTTTGGATTGAGCTGCCAGAGCATAGTTCATGATACCTGAGAGATACAATCCAGAGAAGGCACTCAGACCATGAAGGATTATGGAGCCAGCTTAGGTAAATGGAGTTTATTAATTAAAAAAAAAAAAAAAAAAAAAAAGGTGTTTCAACAATCTCTGAATTAAAACCTAACTTTAAACTTGTTTTACCCTATAAAATAGCCCATTTGAAGGCAAAATTGCTGAAATGGACAGTCTTTGTGTGATAAACTGATTTTATAACACTTTCACTGATAAATCATTAAAAGCGACTCTGGGGACACTAGTGCCTCGATTGTGCCAGAGTTTCAACTTCAGTTCACCCTTAGTAAATGTTTCTTTAAAATAAAAACAAAAACGTATAACTCAGTACTGACACAGTACACCAAATCACACATTCAGATAAGAATAACAGTGTCTGGAACCGTATAGGCACACCTAAAACTTATTCAGTAAGTAATAGTTCATTAATGATATTTTCATATCATCAGTTTTGATCTGGCTCAAAAGCATGTCTCTGGATTTGTCATGTGTCATGATTTTAGCACTGAATAGTTTTCCCTGGGTTTACATAGGAAGTATACTTAATTTGGTAAATTATTGCAGGGACTCAGTTTTCACAACTGAAGTGACAGAAATGTCATAAACTATCTTATATACAGTAAAGGAAGGTTTTCTTCCAGTTACATAATATCAATTTTAATTATTTCAGGAATGTTCCTTGGCTTGTAATAAAGTGATATAGTAAAACATAAACTGTTTTGAGAATCAAAACTCTTGCAGCTTTTTGTAAATAAGAACAGTCACATTTCAACTCAGTAGGCAACTTTTGCACGAGTGACATCTACAGAAGTGGGAAGGCTGCTTCTGAAATAAAACTCCAAAATGTTTTATCACTATGTTTAACTAACATCCAGGGATGTGCTTAATGTATTTGTATGGAGGTTGCCTAAATAACTCTTCCTTTCATTCATGTTTGTCTATAATGCTCACAGGCATAATCTTGAAAGTCATTTAAACATTTTAGAATTAATGAAATATTTATTTGTGGTTTAGTGATACAAAAAGGCAACATTCACAGGCAGAGACTGGGAACAATTGATATGATTAACTTCATTATGTAAACAATTTGAAAGCAAAGGTATTTGATGCAGAGAGAGAAACCTTAACAGGGCATTTAAGTTTATTTTCTCTGACATTGCTGTTACTTGACAGGCACTAACATAAAACTCCCAGCACTATGGTAAGCTTAAAACAGGTCTCTGCCCCTGAAGATGTAACATGGACTATTTCTGCTTTCCTCCTCCATAACGTTTCCTGTCCTTAGTACAAAAACATAGTTAAGTGGCTACAAAACTCTTTATCTAACAAAAGAGCCCTATCAAACATAGAAACTCTGTGGCCAAATTTCATCCATGATTTGAATGATCCAAACAGTATGCTTTAGCTGATGTGAATTAAAGTGCATTCAATTAAATGCTCCATGGAATAACAGAGCATCATTTACACCATTTTAATCACCGGAAAGGTTGCAGTTAAATTACAGGAGAATTTAAATGCCCTCTTTTTAAAGTACTGAATATAAAAAAAGTAACTCAGGACCTTGTATCTGACGGAGAAGCACCCAAGCTGGAAGCATCCACAGACCTCTGTAAGCTAGGGATGACCTGGTTGCATGCTGTTGAAACCAGATTAGCAGGAGGTGAAACAGGTCCCAGCTGCTGAACTGCCATGACACTGCTGGTGACTATTACATTGCTGCAGCTGCCTTTTCCAATGGACTTGCACTGGGGTCCATAATCAAGACCTCCTAAAAATAAAGAAGGCAGGTTAGTTTTGTCTCCCATGAACCCACGACAAGGCCACAGAATTCACATCACTTTGCAAAGCAGAAAAAGTGACTGGAACTGACTATCTTCAGATGAGGACGAAACAGGGGTCCAATACAAGGATTTTGCAAACCTCTCCAAACACAAAAACCAATACTGTAATAGGGAATTAATAAATTGTGTGCATTTAAAACATATGCTGAAGTACATAAACTAAAGACGAGGTATCACAGATAAACATCAGAAACACAGCCACTGTGACAGACAGGGCAAAAGCGCAGCCCTTAGCTGTGGGACAGCCAAGCCATAAGCACGTCTTTCTCTGAAGAAGGAGGGAAGGGAGAACCTAAGGAGGCTGCAGGAACACTACCGTGCCTTGAATCCTATCAAAGCCTGCAGCTCCAAGCCACTGCAAGCCCCTCCATCACTCCTACCACCAACCATCCAATAAGTATGGGGTCTGCAGTCACGCATGCAAATTGCAACCCCTGCAAGAGGCCTGGTGTGGCGAAGCATGCAAGGCTGCATAGCTTCCCCAAAGGAGAGAGTTAGGGCTGGGACCCTGCATTCCTCAGATGCCTGCAGAGAGAAATTTGAGCTGGATCAGGCAGAGGAGCATTCTGGACTTTCTTTACAAGGCCACAATCTGCTCTTAGTCACTGCTGCCGTGACCCAAACTGATGGCTATTACACAGTAGCTCGAGATCATTACAGAAGCTTGCAAGTGAGATGTATCTGCAAATTGTTCTGTGTACTTTGCGTTCTGATTTAGATCACAGACGATGGTTTACAAGATCTCCTGCATTAGAACACATCATGAAAAAGTTAAAATGTAGGTCATAATAGGGAAGTTATTGGATATCTAGCAAATTCTTATCCCAGTTGGAAATGAGTAATTAGATGACTCACATTTCTAGTTGCTTTCCCATGTTCAGACTACTCCCCAAAGTAGCATAGCAACGTCAGGACAAATTGTGAAAAGCACTTCAATTTAAATCATTTTCTAAACTAAATCTACTTTTGACTCAGTTGTACAACTCACATACTAGTTTTTCTTAAGGATGTTCAAAAGGTTGTGAACTTCACAAAGAAGTACAGTAAGGCATTTATCAAAAATTTTAAATTCACCTTAGAAATTTCAAATTATAGCACTTTTTTTTTAAAAAAAAAAAAACAATCACAGGTATGTTTGCTCCTGTTTCAGAGGTCTGTGCCTTCTTTTCAAATTATTATCTTTGACTAATTAGTAATATCACACATATATGTGAGGACCATATGCATGTTTCTCAGTTCACTTAGTTCTACTAAGTGCTCTGTAAATTCATGCACTGATGTTACAAGTTGACTGCATGATCCACCACCAAAATGTACTTCTTGGGATGAAATACGGCAGCTGTTTAAGAAGAACAACTTACTCATTGCTATTACTTCAAAACATAAGAGAGGAATACAGCATCTGGCTGAAAAATCAAGGGTAAGGCAAGAAGAAAACATTTAATAACCCATTCTGAAATCTAGCTAGAAGATTGGAAATCTAGACTGGAAATTTCCGAGGACAAACACGTAAGGAGAATTAATTGTACTGCACTTAACTCCATTGTGGGTACCAGAAAAAAAGCTTTTAAGCTTTGTAGGATTACTGTCTGTTCTTACTAAAAACATCCAATTAAATCAAAAGAGTAAGAGAAGGCATTTTATTTTCTTTCCTGTGCAGCAGCTTGTATTTTGAACCCATTGAAGCTGAATGAGTGTGCTACTCAGCAGTCGCTTTTATAATGTTACAGAGTGCTAAAATGGAACCAGACAGCAAAAAATAGGCAAAAAGCGTAAGTTGTCCCTGGAAATAATATGAATGCTACTCCTCTTAGTAAAAAGGTGGGTGGGGTGAAGTAAAAAATTTACATGACACATTCACATCATATAAAATACATAATACACCTACATGTGTGTGTGTATATTATGTATGTTCAGCCAGATATTTTTTAGAAAAGTGTCTTCAATATGTAGAACCAAAGGCTTTCTGCACTAAAGGCTATAAAAGAGAGGGAAGCATGCTGTAATAACATAAGAAATTCAACTGGTCTTGACACTGAAACACAGCTGTAATGCTTGTAGACACTACTTAATAAGATGCAAACCTATTATTTAGCCCTGAGAAAAGCAGCTCTACCACAAAAATGTACCAAATATATATTGATTCTTCCCTGGATGACACCATAATGCCCTTCACTCAAAAGCCACTTCCAACAAATTTCAATGGTAACAGTAACATCTACTTTATCATACCCAGGAAATCAAGGGCTGTGCACTTGTAAAATTTTCATCTAAGAACAGGCCATACCTGTTGGTTCACCTAGTTGGTTCAAGTAACAATCTGCAACCACACAGTGAAATTGCTACATACAAATGATTAAACCTGAGCTCCTTGGAACTTATATGCCAGAAAAAACCAAATCATCCCAAAAGCAAAACCACAAAAGACAGCGGTGCCAAACCACTACTGTTAAATACAGAATGCTGCATCCTCAATACATCCTGGTTTCCCTTTTAATTATAGGGTTTACTCTCATTATCTGTGCATAAACAGCACCTCAGTGACGCTGAGAACAGCTAAAAAAAAATTGTTTTGTAATGATGAAGGTCAAAGATGCTCTGGGCACTGAAAGGAAAAAAAAAGAGAAAAGGAGTACTTAGGAGAGACTTTATTACTGGAATGACAGACAAAAGTAATGCAAGACTCCGGTCCTGATAAACATTTGTCTGGGCATTTCTCTGATGCAGAGGTGGAAGGAATGGGTTTTATTCTTTTTATCACTGATAAAACATTTGCAGTTACAGGGAAAAATGACAATTCTTTCACTTAAAAGGGGGGGGTAGAGATTATCAAGAAAGAATCTATCATCAGCTCCCACTGGTCAAAGAGACTGCACTCACAAGAATAGCTATGGTTGATTAGCAAGTCATTTACTCTAAACAAGTATATTACAAAAAAATAAAAACTGCTCTTTATCAATAACTAACAGTAATAGTTAACAAGTATAAACACTAAAAATATTTTATGGAAATATTTTAATCCATTCACTTCCTCATTGGTTAGCTTGCCTATTTTCCCTGTTTATTCTCTATAGTTGATTATTAGCTAAGCTTCACTCATCCTTGACATGCAAAAATATTTCTCTGCAATCTTCTGAAGAACATTCAAAGAACATAGAAAAATGCAACTACTTTCATTTAGGTACACTGAATTTCAGATGAGATTCTCTTAATTCATATCACTCTCATATTTTACAGAGGCAGAGTCCAATATGAAATGATTTCCATTTAGAGACATTTTCTTTTACCAGATATAGATTGAAAACCAACCAATTTCTTTGTCTACTTCTCCAAGTCAAGAGTAGTAACTTGTTAATTCTGCCAAGTAACTCAGGTTATAAAATGAAACTGCTTCACCAAACCTTTGAAATTGTAAACTATGCTTCCCATGCATAAATGATAATACAACAAAAACATGCAACAGCAAAATCAGTTTTAATTGTTTGGTGTTCTGAAACACATATCAAAAACATTACACCAGATCAAATTCAATCACCTCTTAGATCAATAAATTCTGCAATAACTGAATTAATCAGTATGAAAGAAAGCTATTAAAATTATCTGAAAATCTGCCCTGTTGTTACTGTTAGAATAACAGCTTGATATAAAAGAATAGCAACAAAGGAGTAAAAGGTAATTTCCCTAGGGGACTTTCTGTCTGTTGACGTATAGTAATTAAGAGCTTTGGAAATGGTCGGTTTTAATGTTTCCCTTGTAATTGCCTTCCAGTCTTGTTTGTGTGGATTCTGTGTTAACCAGATATGGGAGAAAAGGAGACACCGAAAAAAGCATATTGTAAGACAATAAATACTAAAAAGGACAGAGAGACCAAAGCAGTAAGTAAGACTGTGTCAAAGTGTTCTTCTCATAGATTAGACATAAATCACCAAGGCCTTTTCAAACCAAATTTGGTCTTTTTCCACAACATGGTGACTCTCCTGGGTGTTGCAGTCTCCAGCGACTGCAAACATCTTTGCTGCTTGTCACCATATCTGCAGGGTCATGGGCACTCTGTTTGGAGGGCGTTCACAGTAGATGCTGACTGAACAAACTCAAGGGTTTGCTTGGAAGACTTGTTTCCAGATGGGAAATATCCCAGTCTCTCTCTCCTTTGGGCTGTGAAACCTTTCAGGCTTCCCCTCCACCAACTTCAGTCGTATCATTAATGTCTATTAGGGAGCTAGCGCTTGCTCCTTATATCCTTAAACACAACGGCCATTTCTTGATCCTTTCTACAGCCAGCTAAGAGGCACTACGCACACCAACTGCGTGGACAGAGACACCAGCTGCACGGCAGTGGATAGCAGACCCCTTGAAACCTTGTTTAAGTGCATTAAACTGGAGCTTCAAAGTGTGTGGGGGGTGGGGGGGTGGGGAGGAGGGGAGCAGAATAGGGGGAGATTGCTACTTGCCTCTATTAGCACAGGATCAGGCAAAATTTTTGTCTAATTGGGAACATGGGCTTCACACTGGTATCATCCTCTGAGACCAAGTCTTTTTCAGAAAATCTTGAGGCTTATAGGTGAACTACACAAAAATTCAGTCAAAATTACATCAGGTATGAGCAATTTTTGCATGGCAAGCAATCTGGAATTTTTCAGAGTACAAGCAAATTTCTAAACTATGGCTCAAAAAGTTGCCAGATCATGATTTTTATTGCAAGTCTTACAACGTATGGTAGTGCCTGAACTTCACTACACCACACAGACACTACATGTAAGTGAAACAGTGATTCTTGGCCTTTACTTTCTTAAAACTTAACGTTTTCTAAAAATCAAGTTTTTGTTAGAAAGAAAATTCTGAAATGGAGATCCTAAACCTCCCTGGTTTGAACCTCATGATCTCTGCTCATGATTTTCTTAACGCTTACAATTAGCAATGCCTTGTTAGTAACAAATTTCCTCCAAAGCCTCTGGCAGTGTCCACTCTGAACAGCGAGTTAGACAGACCATTAATCTTACTAGTATAGGCAATTCCCATGTTCTTAACTGTTTGCACAGACTTAACCTTCACAATTAAGAAAAACAATCTGGAGGAAATGCACTAAACAGAAATATATGGCCTCATTGTATTATGAGAAATGTATGCACTTTAAAAGCTCTCCATGCTTTGAATCTTGGAAAGGCAGTTTCTTTACTATTAGAGTGCACTTGGTAAATTAGCTTCCACTAATTTCCAATGCTATTTGCCATTCATTGTATGAAGTAATCAAGCATGTACTTTCAGCAACTCTATTGTGAGACAAAAG